AACTATATATTGTGAGAAAAATCGAAACAACGATTTCTGCAAACTCTCTAAAAATCTGTGAAGAGTTAAATTTTCATCGAACTCTTCAATCAGCTCAAGTTACTCCAATAAAATTGTAAAACAAATTGTTTCACGTTTCCTAAAAATTTACAATTTAAACGAACCACGATTCAAATTTACTGATTCAAATTTCAGCTCAAAAAAATTCACTGGTGCGGAAAAGAGTGTTATGGATGACAAAGGAACCAGGTTGTTTAAAATAATTATATCACGTCGCGAATTCGAAGAACTTCAGAGGAGCGTCAAAATAGCGGTGGGACACGCTAGATAACGTCTATAACTATAAGATTCAACTCCGCAGGCGAACTTGTTGCTCACTGTATTTTATTTTCGTAAACGAAAGACGATACTTCGCCACGCACTCGCCTATTTTGTAGCTCTGCCATAATCTTCGCGTAATGTTTACTACATATATACACGCGAATAATCCCCGGGCGGCAATGTGGTGCATTTGTGCGATTATACACTTCTTCTGCAAGACGATCAATTCAATCGACACATCACATCAAACTACACTAGAACTAATAAAAACTCCGAGTAACACGGAATAACTTTGTCACTTGCTCCTTGTCATATTTCTTTTCTTTTCTGATCAAATTTACTTGGCAAAAGTGATCTCGTAAAACAGGATTGAAATCCAGAAAGTCATGTTTAATACTTATTTCACTTTTATTAACCTTTAAATAGGAGATTTTAAAATATGCAAGTTGGTAGCAGGAGTGCTCAAAACGTCTAAAAAAATTTTATAGTTATATTTTTTACTGATATTTATATTATAATTAAATTTAGATTAGTTATATATCTAAATTTAAGAAATCGGTATTCACAGTTCTTATACAGTTTTTATACTTTTAAGATCATCTTAAGTACAGTCTTAAGATGTCAAAAAATAAATTAACATCTTCAGATATTATTAAGATATTATTTAAGGTGTTGAACAAGAATGAATTATGTAGTATTAATACTAGTCTAAGATTTCTAAACAATAATTTTTATTTTCCTTTTATAGAATAAGATTTTAAAGAAAATTAACACTCAGAAGAAAATTTTTAATACTTGTGGCTATAATTATAATTACAGCTACTATAATGTTAATAATAATAA